AGTACAGGGACTGTTGTTCCACGTTACACATTTTTTATTCTCTGAACTGTGGTCTCTGCAAGGAGAATAATTCACAAATGTGTCTTCAGAACGAGAAATTGTAACTGTTAAGTGAAAACTTAGACTTTGGTAAAAGTTGATCTTTAATCTAAGCTGCTTTTTAATACTTGAGCCCCAAGAAGTAGGGTTTTGTTATGTCAAATGTAATGGAAAATGCTAAAGTGACGGTTCACACAAAAAGCACTAGATATGTTGCCACCAATATCATGATGTTTAAATTGTATTTTGTTCTATCATCATAATCCTCCATTTATGTATTTCACCATGGCACTTTCAAGAGATGAAATTAAATCTTGTCTACACTAGGGAATTCCACAAAAATAAAACAAAGCAAACAAACTGGTACACTCATCAGACTACCCAAATTGGTGTCAGGGCATCTGGGAGCCCCATTACAAATACAGCTTTGGCAGCCCTCACCACAAAACGGTGGCAAAAATGTCAGAGCATCTTGAGCCTTGTAAAATCTCTCTGTATTCACAGAATAGCTGTATTTGCAAGCCTGGCTTCTACTGGAGTCACTGTAATGCACATACAGTGAATCCACGGGGCTCCAGTGAATCCTTATGTTCCTTATGGAACGGAACAAGATTCCATGTGTAATGAAGTGACCTGTTAAATATAGTGAGTATTTTGTTCCTCAGTATTTTGACATTTTAATGGGGATGATATCTATCCACAGAATGAACGGTATGCTACCTGAACTCATTGATGACATTACAATCAAAAAGCAAAATTTAAAAGAGTTAATAGACAGAGAGCTCCAAAGCAGTTCATGTGCTCTGATGCATTCTCTTTTTCATTCTCACTGTGTGTTTCTCTCTCAATCTCCCCCCATTTTAAAAACAATTTAGGCTGGGATTTTCTATAGAGTGGCAGGGGTGGCCAACTGGAGCCTGAGAAGGAGCCAGAATTTACCAATGTACATTGCCAAAGAGCCACAGTAATATGTCAGCAGCCCCCCATCAGATCCCCACCCCGCTCCCAGCACCTCCTGCCAATCAGCACCTCCTCCTCCTTCCCCACACCTCCTGATCAGCTGTTTCATGGCATGCAGGAGGCAGGGGGGGAGGAGGGCATGGCAGGCTCAGGGGAGGGGACGGGAAAGGGTGGAGTGGGGGGCATAGTCAGGGGTTGAGCAGTGAACACCCCCCGGCACATTGGAAAGTTGGCTCCTGTGGCTCCAGCCCTGGAGTTGGTGCCTATACCAGGAGCTGCATTTTAATTTGAAGAGCCGCATGTGGCTCCAGAGCCACAGGTTGGCCACCCCTGGTCTATGCGGTTTAGGCTTCCAGCTCCCATTGGCATTCAGTGGGAGCTGGGTAACTAACCCCCTTAACCCTTTTGAAACTCCCACCCTAAATGTTCTGTCTCTTCTCCCTTTCCAACTAGTGCAGCTTAATATTTTTTCTGATGTGTTAAGTGAGCTAATCAAAATGTCCAAGACAATGTAGGTTCAAAATGGTATCTGCTGTTCAGTACACAGTTTTCATATGTTGTCCGGAGGATTTTTTTTCTACACACAGTATAGCACATTCTGCCTACGTAACTGTAAAATGGATCAACTCTTTTGGAGCTGTCAGCCTTCAATTGCATACGCATTTAAAGTATAGCACAACAACATATTGCAGTGATCCAACAGGGCAGAGTGATGGCTTTTGGTCTGGTTGGCTATGTAAGTTACTTTTTAAAATTACTGTTTGGACTAAATTTATGGCCCCGGCATAAAGCCAGAGTGATCTGTCTTTGTGAGTGAAATGTGTGGAGTTTCTTGATTTAAAATTATACATAATATATACTGCTTTATTAAATATTAATTGGAGATGCATGAAGTCACCAAATACACTGAGGTATAAAATGTACCGTTTTTGGAGAGGGGAATTAACACTCTAATCTGGGCCAAGATGCAGGGCTACAGAGGGCCTTTGGACTGCTCTTCTCCATTGTTCGCACACTCTGTTAGAGTGACTGGATCTACAGAGTTGGATTTCTCACTGCCTCACTTTAATTCTCCATTCCACCTTCCATGTCAACCTATGTGGAGCCAGTAGAGACTGCTTTCAGGGAAGACTAATTAGGGTACATCTACACTGTATTTTAAAACCTGTGGCAGCAAGTCTCAGAGCCTGGATCTACAGATTCAGGCTCCCAGGGCTTGCACTACACTGCTAAAAACAGCTGTGTTGATGTTTGGACTCAGACTGTGAAGCCAGGGGTGGAGGGTGCCTATGGTTTGCTTTTGCAGACATACCATGAGGCTTGTGGAGGGTGGTGTGCAGGTCCTGTGCACCCCCTGTAAATATCTAGTCAACTAAAGGAGCTTTGAAGGAATAAGTTCTATTTCCTATGTAAATAAGTCACTGTTAATGAGGCATTTGTTTGTATTATGTATTTACTGAAAGGTTTGGACTGGTCCTCCCGTAAATACGGAGTATTTTGTAAAAACCTTCCAGAAAAAAAGTTCAGTTAAAAACACACACAAGAAACCCCCAAGCATGAACATCCCTTGGGATGTTTTACTGTTTAAAAATCATATTTAAATAACATAGTTGCAGCGCTGTTAAAAGCCAAAAAAAAATCATGATTGAGCCTGAGGCTGCCCCTTATTTCAGGAAGATGTAAGCTCCCCGCATTATCTCTCCAGAACAGAATGATTTTAGGGCAAAGCATGAGCCATAGCTTTGGATTTTCTGACTTTTTCAATATGTGCCAGAGGCTAATATTAATATTAGTAATTGGGTTTGCTTAGTGGTTTTCCTGGATTCTTTTTGAATCCTTAGCCCTCAAATGTCATGATGACTTGTCCCTCTGCTGGGGGAGGACTGGCTGCAGTTCTGAGTTGCCTGTCAGAGATCACTTGAAGAGCAAGGTTATGCTTTATCTCTGAGCTGAGCACTAACTCTCCAGCTCTTTCAGCTCTTGCTGGGATTAACATTCTTTAAACAGATTTTATAATGACTAGATTAACAACAGATTACTAATGTCAATTAGAGATGGGCCCAAACTTTGACATTCGCCTCTAGTTTGGGATACAAATTATCATGAAACTCGGGTGTAAGGATCTAGGGTCCCATTTTGACTATAAATGATGACTAAAACTTCTATCTCTATCAATTAAATTTGCCCTCAAGTTTTGTCCTACAAATTACCATGAGAAACAATATTGCAAATAAATTACATTCCCTACAACTATTTCCTTTAAAGATTATCCAAATACATAAGTGCACCTGAAAAACGAAATAAAATTAAGTTAAATGTGCTGCAACTAACATACATTTCCCCACTTAAGATAAAGTACAGAAGAGAAGAGGGCTGGAAAATGGGTGAATTCTGGCTCTAGATGAAAATGCTGCAATTGAAAACTTTCCAGAACAACATGTACTTGGATCAGTATTAAAGAGAAGTTCTTCGAATATCTAAGCCAAATGACCTAGCATGCTGATAGTGCAGGGCATATTTCACAGTTGTATAAATATTTAAACTGTTTTCCAGCCTATAACACAAGTAAATTAGATTTTTTTTTTAGCTAAAAATAAAACCAACCTTTATGACTACCTTGTAGTAACCCATCTTTATTCTGAACTTGACTGGAATCGGTCAGTACTGTTATATTATCACTGCAGAGAAGTACTTTATTAATGCTTCATTGCAAGAGGACATAAGCTCTCTGACATGGCAGTGAATTTTATACAAAAACATCTGAAAGTTACACTGATGCACATGGTCTGCTCTCCCTCTGGCTCTCTACAGTTTTGGGGAATCCTTGCAAAAGTGTCAATAGGGCCCCATTTATTTCTGCCCTTCCGATTCAAGGCAATATCTAATAATTGCAGAGCCTTTGCTGCATTATAATTAAGGCCCTATCAAATTAATGGCTATGAAAAACAAACCATGAACTGTGAAATCTGGTCTCCGCTGTGAAATCTGGTCTTTTGTGAACTTTTACCCTATACTATACAGATTTCGTGGGGAAGAATAGTGTTTCCCAAACTGGGGGTCCCAGCTCAAAAGAGGATGGGGGGGGGGTTCACAGTGTTATTGTAGGGGGTCGTGGTATTGCCACCCTTACTTCTGCGCTGCCTTCAGAGCTGGGTGGCCGGAGAGCGGAGGCTGCTGGCCAGGCGCCCAACTCTAAAGGCAGCGCCCCACCAGCAGCAACGCAGAAGTAAGAGTGGCAAGACCATACTGTGCAACACTTACTTCTACACTGCTACCTTCAGAGTTGAGTCAGGACCCCTACAGTTACAACACTGTGAAATTTCAGATTTAAATATCTGAAATAATGCAGTTTATGATTTTTAAAATCCCATGTCCATGAAATTGATCAAAATGGACCGTGAATTTGGTAGGGCCCTAATTATAATGCATTTGAATTAGCCAGTGGAAACATAGAAGAATTTTTCAGATGTTAGCAACAATGAATACTTGTTGAAGCAAGCTTGAAAATAGCTTGATATTTCATTTTTCTTCTGTTTTCTTTATTCTCATTGTTTTCTTTCCTTCTCTTCTTCCTTTTCCCGTGTCTTATCTCATGCATCTAAATCTTCCTCCCCACTTTGCTGCCTCATGTTTTCGTTTCCCTTCTCTATCTCTGTTTTATGCTCTCCAGGAATACGTGCAATGATTATGACAAAGATCCTTCTAGTATACAGGAATCTGGTAGGGATCTTACTGAATAAAGTCTATACTAATGTTGTCACCAACAGAAATCATTTTAAAATGGATAGTAGTCAGTAGTTTGTCATACAGATCTTTTGTTAATAATGGAACATAGTGTTTATTTTGAGTAAGGCACCCTGAGCATTGATTTTGTAATGTAATAGTGCATATTTAATACCTTGTAAATGACCGTAAGACTATAAGGGTAAATTACTATCTCTAACTAAATATATTTCTAGAAAAAAATAAGTGTGTATGTGTGTGCGTTTTATCTTTCATAGATTACAGAATGAAAAATGGATGAATGTAAGACCCGGTGACGTCATTAAACTGGAGAATAATACATTTGTAGCTGTAAGTAGTTCAGATATTTTCTTCCATAATACAGGTCACAGAGAAATCAAATAGTAACAAATACTTGCCTCTCTCTATCTTTCTGTGTGTATTGTTGCCCCTTGTTTCCCACATGTATTCCCACAAGTTCCTTTGGAACTTACTTTGACTCTATATCACTGAAAATACTTTTCTCAGAAGAACGGTATTGTAATCAAGCACAAATATACATCTGAGTAATGTTTAAAGTTTTATTTACATGTATAGAAAACCACTTTTCACTTACTCCTTTTTGCCTGTGTAAAATAAGGGCCTAAAAGGGTATTTACAGCTCATCCTGTCAAGGTCTATTATATTATAAATTCTCCTTCAAAAATACTGTGATCTGTCAAGTAAAAGTGGGCACACTTTATGATGTGAAGTATTGGCATCACTAACACAGCAATGAGTTTTTTGAATCCTATCTAGTGGTGAAGGCACTATGCATGCACGGTATGCTGAATTCCTGTACCCAAAATCCTGCAGTAATTTTTCATTTCGAAACCTTAATGTTCATGAATGGGAATTATTTTAAATCTGAAAAGACTCAATCTTATAAATTTTAGACCAGATTATCATCTGATTTCAATGGAAGTACGCTGATTTACACTGTCTAAAGATCTGGACCTTATGTAAAAATATCAATTAATCCACCTCATGGATTTATTGAAGTCATTGGAGCTATGCCAATTTACACCAGGTGAGAATCTGGTCCATAAAGTCTGTATGTATGTATGTTTTCTCTGTTCGGTAATTTAGGGAAAAAATTAAAATTTGTTTCAGACATTGAGAATTTTAAAGAAGTATTTGTGCTGTATATCTAGAGAAGAAAAATTACAGAGAACATGGTGGTGTATCTTGGAACTTTTTTGTATCTTATATGAGCCTTTTCTCAGTCCTTTTACAGCTTTTCAAGATGATATAATATATTTAACATCACTTCTTTTTTTACAGGCTGATGTATTACTTCTATCTAGTAGTGAACCACATGGTCTCTGTTACATTGAAACAGCTGAGCTTGATGGGTAAGTTTTAATCCGTTAGAGTAGTTAACAGAATAACATAATACATTTTAAAATATATTATTTATGTGTGTGTGGCATGTGGACACCAGCTATTGATCACAGATATATTTTATTCCTAACAGGAAAGGAGTACTTGTAGCACCTTAGAGACTAACCAATTTATTTGAGCATGAGCTTTCGTGAGCTGTAGCTAGTCTCTAAGGTGCTACAAGTACTCCTTTTCTTTTTGCGAATACAGACTAACACGGCTGTTACTCTGAAACCTGTCTTTATTCCTAACGTTCTTTAAGTGGCCTCTACATAGTCCCACCCTTGGGATGTGTTGATGATGCAGCTCTGACAGTGTTACACTTAATAACAGTGAAGTTGGAAAACTTTTGCACCCCCTCCTACCCATCCTCTTGCTATTCCTGCATGTTATGAGAGCAAGGCTATAAATGGAGGGTATGACGCTCCAGTTTCTTCTGTTCCTTCCCATTGTGGTTGCAGAGACTGGATCTTCCCTGGATCCACTTCTTCAATCAACAAGTGCCATTGGCTAGTTTTAGTTCTTGGTTAGTTCTGGAGTGATTTTAGTCCTTTATTTTGTATTACTTTATTTGAAATTCTTTCTTCTACTTTTATTTATTAAGGCTCCTCTAGGTTCTTCACCCCAATGCAGTCTCATGGATCCTATGGTGGTTCCGAAAGGAAAGTGGCTCGGATTTTATCCTTCCATCTTTTCTACCTCTGATGGCCCAGAGTTGGGAAAGATGGAAGGTATCTAGCATGCTTAGGAAAAGGACACTTTCCTTCTTAGTGCGTAATATGTAGAACCTTTACTCCCAAGAATCTCTAAAGAGCACCAAAACCAATCCCATGCCCTTCCATAGCAGAATGCCCTGGTGGCTAAACCCTCTGGTGTCAATCATTTCAGTTCTGTGAATAAAGATAAGCCTGCATCAGCCCCAGTTTCCTCGGAAACTAAGATACTTGTGATATCTTTGATATTCCTTAAATATTTTGCCATTGTTAAAATCTGCAGAGCTGCAGCTTGGATCTGTATGTACACATTCACTGAACATTACTCCCTTGATTTAGCATCCAGGTCTGAACTGAAGTTTTGTAGAGTAGTACTTCAATCATTGTTTAATTAAGACTCCATGTCCCACCTTCCTTATTTCACAGTCCTGCTTATGAGATTATCCCAAGAGTGGAAGTGTGTAGAGACCACTCGAAGTATGACTCACCTCTAACCAGAGTTTTTTTATATGAACTCCGCACATTCACAATCCCCGTCCGTCTTGACCTCTTCCCCAGAGACCTTATTACAGCCATGGACCTGAGGAGTCATTGGAAGGAGCCGAAGTGGATGGAGCAGCATGCCACTGATGTATAGCCTCTCTGCATTGAGGAACAGTGAGGGGAGGGGTGTGAGAGAGCTCCCGTGGCACTGCCGTGGAGCATTGCACCATCAGAGCTGCACTGCTAGCACATCCCAAGGGTGGGAATGTGTAAAGTCTGTCTCAGAGAACTCCAGTTACAGGTGAACAGTGTGTGAATGGTGTACTTGTCAAATGCAGTAACAGTTTTAAATACATTCATGTGAAGATCATCACAAAGTTCAGGGCTCAGGTCTTTGGTGCTTATACAGCACCTACTGCAATGTGGGTCCTATTAGAAACCAATAACAAATAATAATTAAGGAAGTCACGTTTTTCTTTCTGCTCATTGGTGCCATGTACTCAGATACCATGGTGATAAATGACAGTGTAAGAACCTAAATAGTCTGATGTGAATGATAGTTCATATAGATAAATAGTCTTACACAAGACCAAAACATGTAATGAAATATAAAACTGAATAACAGATAGAAAATCACATAAAATCATCATCATAAAACCAAAGTAAAAAAACCTACTCTAACAAACTCATTTATAGCATATCTAACTATATGAACCTTTCATACTGAGTTTCTGAATACCAAGAGATAGTGCTGGGAGTAGTTTCCTTAACCACACATATCCAAGTCCGACTTCACCTCTTTAAAAGAATTAATATTCTCACTTGAAGAAAGTAATATATATTTTTTTCCAGGAGTGAATGACTGACATCATTGGTTTAGATACTGGTAAATTTGTAGATACTGTACTACTTTAGCATGGACATAGCTTAAGCTGCACTAAAATTTAGGCATTAATTTGTTTGGATTTTTATTATTGTTAAGTATTCTAATATCTGTTCCAACAACCATATGCAGGTGTGTTCACTTAGGAAACTTTGCACTTCCTTCTAGAAAAGTATGTGATCTTTAACATTAGTTTTTCCTGCCTTAAAGCACAGCAGTTGAGGACATATCCAAAGTTCTAGACCTCTTTATTTGGAATATCTAGGACTCTGAGAAAGGCCTCTGCCAGGGTATCCCATTTTCCCTATTTTCTAGGGGAGATTAGTTCAGTGGATAGTCGGTGGCCGTTGCGATTGCTCAGCAGTCCTGGAAATCAGGCCACTTCTTTAGGTGCCTAGCTTTAGGCATTGAAGTTTGGAAAATGTTAGTCCCTGTAAGTAAATTAGTATTTAGTCATAAAGGGAGCTCTCTCAAACCCACCTCTTAAGAAAGGGTGACTCCAATTCCCCCTTTTCCCAGTTCAATTTCAGCTACTGTAAAATTAGGGTTTATTACATTTTCATTAAAACCTTTTTTCATAGCTCAAATATCAATCTTTGCCGTGGTGTTAATCTCTTTCAACTGGCAACTGCTCTGCCATTCCTATTGCAGTTAGTAATTTGTGCATGATGACCGGATGGGCTCTGACTAAATCATATTTATTATGTCCTCTGTTCAAAGAAGCAAAACAAATTGTAGTTATGCAGATGTGCATTCATTATGATGCCAGCACTTATTAAAACTGAAGCTCCTTCTCATGTTTTTGAATCAGTTACAAAAGTGTTCTTCCAGAATAACATTAGAAAGAGCTATCTGAATAGCATCTTTCTATAAATGTGCTGTCTTAGTCCACAAAGTTAGATTCTGTGGTACTGAACATAGGTTCATGTGGGTGAGAGAAGGCAGGGCTGGGGGGTTATGGAAAGAGTCTTATATAAAGGTCATGTTATTAATTTTACAGTGAGACTAACCTAAAAGTACGTCAGGCTTTACCAGATACTTCAGAACTTGGAGCAGATATTAGAAGGCTTGCAGAATTTGATGGTAAGTGGTGATAAAAGTTAATTTGCTGAAACCAAGGTTTTTATTTTTGGGTTTTGTTGTTGTTTTGTACTTGGAGGGGAGAGGTAAATGACTCCAGACATTAAACGCCAAGTTCTCATTCTTTCACTATCAAGATTAAGGATGTTGTTTAAAAATATGACTTTCAGATTCTAAATCATTGTCTTATTTTTTGGGTATGTCTTAATGGGCAAAAAGGGTTATTCAATCAAGTTAGCTTAATAATAAGTTAATATGATTAAAAAGATGTTAAAAAGTTAAGATGTAAACTAACACATTTGAAGCCATGTTATCTGGCTGTGTTGTAGCTTGGGGCATGGGGATGAGTTAACTTGATTAGCTTAACATTATTACATAAGAACATAAAAGTGGCCATACTGGGGTCAGACCAAAGGTCCATCTAGCCCAGTATCCTGTCTTCTGACAGTGGCCAATGCCAGGTGCTCCAGAGGGAATGAACAGAACAGGTAACCTTCAAGGGATCCATCCCCCGTTGCCCATTCCCAGTCGCTAGGGACACCATCCCTGCCCATCGTGGCTTATAGTCATTGATGGACTTATCCTCTCTGAACGTATCTAGTTCTTTTTTGATTAAAAAAAACAAATTAGTTTTGCCCATCAAGACAGGGCCATAGTGAAGTTTAGCAGATGTAAAACCTATATCCTAACCCCACAATTTATATATTGAATCTTCATTCTGTTTTCACTTTCCATTACTTTACTCACTGTTGCCTGTCCTTTGACACCTATGTAACTCCATGGTTACACCTACACTGGCAACTGCACACAGGTCCAAGCAAATGGTTGTGCCAGAGCCCCCGCCTCCACCAACCACATCTAAACTCCAGAAGCACAGGTTTCAGGGTGTGTACAGGGCAAGAACATTAGCAAGCCTAAGGGGCATGGATGTGAACATGCTTCAGGCTGTGGCATAGCCCTGTACCTGTGTCAGTTGGTAGTGTGGACAAGGATAAGGTGCATGTCCCAGGTATTGAGTTCAGTAGTCCTCCAACCCTGTTCCCACAACACTCTGAACCCTTTCCTGCCTGACCCTTACCCAGAAATATAAAGGTCCCTGTCCCTGCTGTTCTCACCCATAGTAGCAAGCTGTGCTGACTACTTCACAACTTTTCTGCTGGACTCTTTTCACCAGCACACATAAACAAGGAACATACTCTGAGAGCAGCTGTCTATCAGCTCTGTGTCAGCCAAGCACACACAGGCCTTGATAAATGTGTGGTTGGAATTCATTGTCCTCCAGTACCAGGAATTCACAACTGTACCAGGAAGTTTCAGAAAGTCTGGCATGGGCGGGTGTTCACTGTACTCTACTGCATATAGGCAGGTACAGAACATATATTCATGTTCAGCACAGCATATTTGGACACCTGATATGGGTGGGTATGGGGTACATGGATAAGCATACATATGGCTCTGTACAGGTATCCAGTCGCCAGAATAGATGTAGCCCATGAATCTTCCTCTGAAAACTCTGAGGAGCAATAGGAACCAGACAGTGTTCTCCAGAGGCCTGAAAAAAAATGAGAACACTCCTTTCAACATTCACTATCCTGAGAATGAGAGACCCTTAGTCTCACAAGTGCAGTTTGGAAGAGTCATTCTTGATTGCCATCTAACCCGCAGGGTTTTGCTGTTCCTTGAGCATGTTTTAATTGTTCCTTTCCCTCGTATCTCTTTTCTCTTCTCTTGTTACTCCTTTGAATAAAAGCATGAATAACAGCATCTTCAAAGTTCAGTTAAACTGCAGCCATATTTATATTTTGGAATGTCTCAAAAGCCCAGTTTACAATTTTTATATTGTTTATTATATGCTTATTATATTTGAAACATCTTTCTGGATTCCATTAATACATTTGGTAACCTTTTGTAATAGAAATACTTATTACAACTAGTATTTACTGTTCAAAAATTGACTTCTTCCAGATTCAGAAGGATTTAGGTTATTTAACAAGGACATTTTTAATGGTTGTGTCATGTGATATTTTGGTTTGGCCAAAACAAATGTCATTTTTTTCCCCACAAAATGCCTTAAAAAAGTTATTAAAGTAAATAGTATATGAAGCCAGCAAATTTTGTTTAAAATACTTACTGAAGTATTTATGGGGCCAGTTTTCCACTAACAATGTAATCATAGATGAACCTCAAACTGTCTGGAGGTAATATATAGTTGAGATAAGCATCCAAAAGTACACTGCACATCTCAACTTCTTCATATTATTTTAGTCTAAAAATCATAGCAAAATATTTTGAGAACAAGTCTTCTCATGAACAACTTTCTGGTTCAATGGAGTATAATAACAATACTTTTTTGCATTGTGCTAGTACTTCAGTTTCTGGTCCTCAGTGAAAATGACAAGTACAGAGTTGCATCAGAGTGATGAAGGGCGAGGACAGGTGTGATTATAATATCATCTATTTCTGCTACATTCAGGGTATAACTTTTGGTAGCACTCACTTGTAATTTAATTAAAAGCAAATGTCCTGACATATGGAGCAAAAATTTAGACTTTAATAGCATAATTGTAAGATAATGAAAAATGACAACAGTCAGTTGCAGATACAGTTCTACACTGTATCTTCTTTACCTGGCATTATGCCATTTATTCAGGTATAATCCATTCCCCTGGTTGGGAGCCCTCCTGCTTGACACAAGCATATCGTTCCAATGCTAGTCTCCAAGTTTTAAGAAAGGCTCATATCTTAAACTGCTGAAGCCAACTGAGGACAGAATACAACCCCCTGTTGTTCATTTTCCAACTTCTTAAAAGTTTCCTCAGTTCCATGTATAGCTTTTGAAGCAAACATTTGACCTTGTCAAGAATTTTCTAGTTTATTCACCAAAACATGGATGCTTTTAATCTTGAAGTGTGAACACGAGAATCTCGGTCGGTAATTCTGATTGACTGTCAATCTCAAATTCTCTTTGTAGTTTTGTTGCTCAGTTTCCAGTCTGTTTTTTACACGCTATCATTGTCCAGAAATTCACTGGTACATATATTTTAAAGCAGACAGGGATAAAGAACTGAAACAGAAACTAGTTCAGGATAACCATACAAAATGTTACTTCACAAACATAATAAACTTAAACTTCCCAAAGATTACACATGTTCATTAAAACAAAACATAACTGTTCTACATCAGCATCTAGTAATGTTTCACATTCAAATTGAATTGACAAAGCCACACATGGACCTCCATGTGTCTGAGGGTGAGAGGGAAAGGGATGGTATTTAAAACTAACATTAATGCAGTGTTGATTTTGTGAAATTGAGCACTCCTTATTGCAGGATTAACTCACCTATATTGACTAAACTGTATATTTTATTATAGAGATTATGTAACAAAAATAAAAGTACAGAAAGAAAATTTGAACATGAAGGGACAAAAGTGCCCATGTTAAATCTTCATAGTTTTATAAACCTTCTGAATTTTCTTCTTCTTCATAGAGGACTATAAAAAAGCCATATTCAAAGTTCCTTGCTTCAGTCATTTTTGAGGAATGCAACCACAGAAATTAAAATTGGGTGGGCCTTCCCATCTCCCCCCACCAAAAAAAATGGTTGAACTGATTTTATTCAAATTTAATTTAAAAAATCACCTTTGTATTGAGAACAAAGCATGAAAAATTTAATGACCAATGGAAAAGCGTGGCTGCCTCTCAAACGTAACCATCTCAAATGCACCCATAGAGTTCACGGTAAGCTTTACAAACACTTAAGGGAACAGGGGTTCCTTTGCAAGAGGCTTACAGTCTAACTCACACAAAAGAGATGGAAAATCGGATACAACAGTGGATACAGATGATGCCAGAGTGCAGATTAATGTTCTTGATTAAAAAGAAGCAGGTTTACAGAGGGATTGGAAGGAACAAATGGTAGGCTGTTGCACACATAAAGGATTCTACCAAAAAGCACATGCGGTTTGTGAAGGAGATAAAAGGAACTCTGAGGACAGAGAGCTGGATGGAAAGTAGGACATGTCAGGGGTGCAGAGCCTTGAAAGTGAGGACGAGAAACTTCAACTTGATGCAGTACAAGAAAGTGAGCTGTTTAAAGGAACTGAAGAGGAAGAGTTGATTTATGGCTGCAGTTTTGGACAGACAGAAAAGAGGAGTTGGCAAGTAGCGATTCCAAATTGGAGGTTCCAGTTGTGGAAGCAAGTGATGAGCAAATAATGGGTGAAAGATGTAGTAGCAGGAACAAAAGGTCAAGGGTGAAATTTTAAATATCTAAATTGATTAACTCTTATGATTTATGCTTCATTTGGAGGGTGATGATGATTTAATACACCAGTTTGACTATTTCCTTGATTATGAATCTAAGAGCTTGATTGAAAATCCACTGAAATTAGTGAAAGACTCCAATGTGGATTACAGCAATACTGACGCTCAATCAGTGGACAATAATCTTCTATATTATGATTTTCATGGTAGCAAATGACAATTTTACAACTTGTTGTTATGTCACTGTACTGGGATCTTTACTGTTTGAATTCATGTTTTTATTATAATTTTATTTTTATATTTTAGTCAAAGTTGTTCGACGTAATCTGGAATGAATTTCAGGAAAATATGTCCTTAGTGTCTTGAGAAAGGTTTTTTAGGACTTTGTTTAGACTTTATATGGAATTTATTGCTAAACTCATGCATGATTCCACTAACAAAGTTTCATGGGAATCATTTTAGATTATTTCTATTAGTCCCCAAATCTGCATTAAGGCTTTGTTTGGTAGGTTTTGCTAAATATAGGGAATATAGATGACAGTAGAGAGGCTCTCTGCTGTAATGGTGTATTTAACAGTTTTCAGTAACAATGAAAATGTGAGTTCAGTGTCTTGAATAAATCTAATTCTTTGGATTGCAAACTGCTCTTGAGCCAATAAAAGAAGGGGTACATTTTTGTCTAAATAATTTATACAATTGGTAAACTTATATAAATGGTTCTAACACTGAATAAATATTT